GAAGAAGAGAAACAAGTACCAGAAAAACTGTAGCACTAATGACCATGGGGTGCAGATGGAACTAGAGAATCATGGTAGAGAAGAGGATGCTCAGCATGTAGAGCGTTCTGTCTCAGGTGATCAACAACATCATAGTATAGCCACAGACAGGCCCAAACGCAATATCAAGCCACCTACCAGGTATGGTTTGAAGATTTGGTTTCTATGCGCTTATTACTAGTAGCGGGGATCCTACAACTTTCCAAGAGGCAGTACAAAGCCAAGAGAAAAGTAGATGGATGGGTGCTATGGTGGAGGAGATGGAGTCTCTGCATAAGAACTAGACGTGGGAGTTGGTGGAACTTCCCGAGGAGAAGAGAGCAATAGGGTGCAAATGGGTGTATAAGAAGAAAGAAGCAGTATCAGAAAATGAGGGAGAAAAATTCAAGGCTCGTCTAGTAGCAAAGGGTTACTCACAGAGAAAAGGGGTTGACTATGATGAGATCTTCTCCCCGTGATCAGACACACTTCCATCAGGACAGTGTTGGCACTAGTAGCACATTCAGATATGCAGTTGGAGCAGATGGATGTAAAGATAGCTTTCCTTCATGGCGACTTGGAGGAACGGATTTACATGGTACAGCCAGAAGGGTTCAGTCTCCCTAGAGAGGAACATTTGGTCTGTAATTTGAAGAAATCACTTTATGGGCTGAAGCAGTCTCCGAGGCAGTGGTATAAACGATTTGACTCTTACATGGTCCGAATTGGCTACAAAAGGTGTGAGTATGATTGTTGTGTCTATGTAAAAAGGCTTGATGATGATTCATTTATTTTTCTGTTACTTTATGTGGATGATATGTTGATTGCTGCCAAGAGTATGAGTGAGGTCAACAAGTTGAAAACTTTGTTGAGTAGAGAATTTGACATGACGGATTTGGGTGCGGCCAAGAAGATTCTTGAGATGGAGATTCGCAGGGACAGAGCTTCCAGAAGATTATGGCTATCTCAGCATAGCTATGTTGAGAAGGTGTTAGACAGGTTCAACATGAGTTATGCAAAATCAGTAAGTACACCTTTGGCGAATCATTTCAGATTGTCTACCGCTCAGTGTCCGAAGACAAATGATGAAGTTCATGGCATGTCAAAGGTCCCATATGCTAGTGCAGTGGGGTGTTTGATGTATGCTATGGTTTGTACAAGACCAGATTTGGCATAAGCTGTCAGCGTGGTTAGCAAGTTTCTTTCAAATCCGAGTCGACAGCATTGGGATGCAGTCAAGTGGATTTTCAGATACTTGAGGGGCACTACAGACTATGGCATCAGGTTTAGCAGACAACAGAGTGATCCTTCAGTTATGGGATATGTGGATGTAGACTATGCAGGGGACTTGGATGACAGGAGGTCTACCACAGGTTATGTGTTTACTCTTGTGAGAGGACCTATTTGTTGGAAGTCCATGGTACAGCCTATAATTGCACTATCTACTACTGAGTCAGAGTATATGGCAGTAGCTGAGGCTGCCAAAGAGGCTTTGTGGCTTACAGGTTTAGTCAAGGAGCTGGGTGCCCAGCAAGGTGGAGTTCAATTGCATTGTGACAGTTAGAGTGCCATTTATTTGGCAAAGAACCAGGTGTGTCATGCAAGGACCAAATATATAGATGTGAGGTTTCATAAGATCAGGGAACTAGTTTCTTCTGGTGAACTATTACTTGAGAAAGTTCACACTTCTGAGAATGCAGCAGACATGTTGACAAAGCCTGTTACTACAGACAAGTACAAGCACTGCTTGGACTTGATTAATGTCTCTAGTTGCTAGATGGGAGATGCCTCAACTCAGCGTCCCCGGTGGAGTTCCCGAATACATGTCCTCTTTTTTTTTTTTTTTCTAAAGGGTGAATATTTGCCAAGGTGGAAATTGTTAGAGTATGTGTGGCTCATATTTGCTGTGTGCATAATGGCAAGGAGACAGATGTCGGAGCGGAGCCCGCGACGGCATCTGCCTTGCGGGATTTATATAAAGGAGACGCTGATTAGTTGGGGGTGCGAGGGCAACGCCCCCGCGGTACGGTACAGGGGTATTTTTATAAATACGTCCATATTAGAGTTATGTAAATACTTAAGATATAACCCTACTTCAATAATGGAAAAGAACGGCCGCTCGCTCTCGTGGATGTAGGTACATTGTCGAACCACGTAAATCTCTGTGTGTTATTTTCTCCTGCTTTCTTAATTGTTTGATTTTTTACTATTCACCATAATTGCTGCACGATCACAACATAAACTTAAATGAAGTTTAATTGGTTGAAACCCCTCAACATGTTTTGTCAAAAAAATCACCCCCTCTCTCCGAATATATTATCCCTTCTCGGCTATTTTTTTTTTTTTTTTGTTGCTGTTGGAAAAAGGTTAAGTATAGAGTAAAGAGTAAGAGTAAGATAGCTAATTCCTAAAAAAAGTGGCGTCTCTCTAAGCATAGTTTAGTTCACTATGTTTGAAAGTTGGTGATCAAGAATAGTGTATGTCTGCTTGAGGACTAATCCCCATCTTGCTAGCTCATGTGACGCTTTGTCTGCATCTTTGAATACATGTACCATGTTCCAGTTAGGATGATTCCTGAGAATTTGCTTCATATCTTGGACTACTGTCCAGATCTGTTATAGGGTGCATGAACCACAGATTGGGAATTATTTGTGATGGTAACACAGTTCCAATTTTGTCTTTCTGCCCAAAGAGCTACATTCTCTAACTGATCCATCATGATCCCTCGCGAGTGCTGAAATGCAAGAGTTCTTTGATCCAATTGCAACATCCACATTGATTTGATTCTTCCTTCTTGGGGTGGGTGGTATCTATAACTGGTTGAAAAATTGATATTATTGGGAATAATGATATTGGTCTGATGATAATCATTTCTAGCTCTAAGCTCACATAAGAGTGAGTCAATGTCCTAAAGGATCGTTAAGGGTTCAACTGGTCAATTCTGGTATTGGACTTGGTTTCTCCATTGCCATAGTTAAGATACTATAACTGATGTGAACAGGATTGGATGAGAGAAATGTGGGGATTGGAGGCCAAATAAGGATGTGGGATGGAGAAGGTATGGATCCATTCTTGAAAGCTCAAGTCTGGGAAGTGATCAATGTGTAAACCCCATTTATTGAACCAGATACCTCGAGCAATAAGGCATAGGAAGAACAAATGAAGCTCTCTTTCTACGTGTTGATGACATAAGGGACACATGATGTTTTCTATAGAAATTTTTGTGGCTAGTAAGCTCTGTGTTGGGAGGCCCTCAGTGATGGATATTCAAAGATTTATTTTGTACCTCTCATGAATCATCATCTTCTATAAGATTTTTCGGTACTTTTAATCAAGGTAGTGACTTCTTAGCTCTTATAGTCCTTGCGTGCTTGATAAGCTGATTTGGAAGTGAAACAACTATTGCTTGAGGGGATCCATCTCATTTGGTCTTGTCTTGGATATTAGGACAGATGGATCAGTTTTATGGCATGTATGGCTTGGTCAATGAAAAGCGTGGAATGAATATCAGAATTTCATTCTCTGTTTCCTTGCTTGAGGAGATCTCCCACTTTTGTTGGTAGGTTTTCACATTCATGCTTGAGCTGAACTCTACGTATAGGAGAGTCTTGGGGTTGTTTTGGACATAAAAAAAAATGAATTCCTGCTAATATACTTCCTTTGAAATTGTGATGTCCAAGATTTGTGAGAGTTTGATACCAATTGCCACCCCTATTTTGCTATTAGGGATCTGTTTATGTTTTGTATTTTCTTGAAACCTAAGCTTCCGATAGGTTTTGGCTTGCAGAGGAAGTCTCAGGGCTTGTAGTCATTGCATGATGAATGATGATCCTTTATGTGACCCTACCAAAAACCTCTTATCTTTATATCGATTTTGGAGCACAGTGTATTTTGTAGGTAGCAAGAAAGATTGCATTGCGTATGTAGGTATTACAAGGGCTATGGGTTTGATGAGTGTGGATCTGTCACCATGCTATAACATTTTCACTTTCATTAGAGTTTGCTTCCCAATTTGTCAAGAATATGATGGAATGCTCTGGTTTTGTGTCTTCCAATCCACAGTGGCAAACTTTATTTCTGAATTAATTCTCCACTTGAGGTAGCCATGTCATCAGAGACGGAACTATGAGGAGGCCTAGGCCCCCCTCAAATTTTAAAATTTTCTACTATCTCCCTTATATTTTTAAAAAATTTATTATTAACCCCTAACTTTTCAAAACACCCAATGTGTAAGTATCTCACCCTAATGTATTCAAAATATCAATGACTTAATATTTAGCAACCATTTAAAATGTAATCACATGGATGAGTATCGTTTGTACTGCCGAAGATACTTATTAAATTATTTTGATGATATAGAGAAAAAACAAGTGATTTTTTTTATAAAAAAAATAGGAGTACAAATATGATTTATATCAAAAACAATTAGTTGACTTATAATTCATTTTTATTATGGTTTCATATGAAACTATTATTTTCGAACTTGATTTATTTATAGACATAAGGTTGCATTATAAACAAGAAAAAAAAAAGGATATTATCACAAATGAATTTTTATGATGGCATGAATCACTTTTGAATTTTGTGCTCAAAAATAAATTTTTTTATGTCATTGCAAAAAAATTAAATTTAATAAATTTTTTATAAATAAAAATTTATCATTGATAATGACAGTCAAATAAATTTATTAAATTAAATTTTTGTCTAAGTTATTGTTGACCTCTCAAGATAAAATTTTAGTTCCCTCCCGCGTCTTATTTTGCAAATATAAGGGGATTATGGGTTATTTTAGCCGTACTCAGAGAATGGTGTTAACCCATGTCCCACTAGATTCCACCATTTGTAGAAATACTTTTTCCATTCTTCCAAGCTTCTTTTGCTTTCAACAAAAGAAGCCAAAGCATATATACCTCTTTGTGGGTGGCCGCTTGCTTTATACTCCAGAAATAAATGTCTCCCCCTTCACTCCACGCCTTGTCCTAGTGATAGTGCCTTCTCATAAGCAAACCATTCATTTACAAAAACCTCTCACATTCATCTACAATAATACCCTTGTCCTAGAGAAAGAGAGAGAGTACAAGGTTAATGGATCAAGGAGAGAACCATCTTCAATCTATTGGTGTTTACCAGAGACTTGTGAACTTCATGGTGAAAAGCTTAACAGCGATAGCAAGCAGGCCAATGACTTTGCCATATCCCGTGAGACATTTCTGGCTCATTTGCCAGAGATTTTTTAACTTCATCATGCTAAGCCTTGCAACACAAGCTCTCAAGCCTGTGACTCTGGGTCATCCCATGCCTATTTCTGATGCTTCACAGAACGGAACACCTCATGAAGACGTCCATTTTGGAGCCATGGTTGAGTCAGAACAAGCCATAGCCATTCAACAACTAGTCCCTCTTACCACCTTCGACTCTAAAAACAAGGAAGTCGAGAAAGATGGCAAAGAGTTCCCACTAGACCGAGAGAATGGCGTTGTTATTGCTTCTTCTACTGCACAAGGAATAAATGATTTGAATGCAAATGAAGGTAAGAAGGGTGAAGATGAAGTAGTGACTGTACCAGCAATTGCACCACAGACAAAGGCCCCAAAGAAGATGGTTAGCATAAATGACAATGTGGAGGAAATATACCCCAGTAAGAAGAAAAAGACTAAAGCTATAGAAAAATTGCCTTCCATGGAAAGAGAAAAAGAAGAGACAAAGCCTTTGAAGCCAATTCTAAAGACGGGTTCTAATGTAAGTGCAAAATCAGAGAGTAACAAATAAGATAGATTCTTAGTGTCAAACCAGAGGCCATCTTGGTAGTCTTTGTTGCCATGGGGGGTGGGGGATTTAAGAAATTTGCCTGATCTGGTTGTTGCTTGTTGCAACCATGATAATAAAATTGGTTTCTGGGTGTAGTTGGATCGAACTGAACAAAAAGTATATACTAGATGGTTATTGGGATTTGTTGATTATGGAGCCGTGCATAGTCCATCATTTTAAATGGAAATCACGAATCACATTCTTATTTCAGTAGAGGCAAATAATGATGATAATTTTTGACACGATCTATTGCACGCATGGTTCAAACTATCGATCGATAATATTATAATCAGTCGAATCATATCAACTTTCAATTTGACATAATTTCACAATATGTATGAATCACGAGTCTCACATAATGTTACCAATTCATTTAAAACATATTCGAGTCAACCAAAAATCAAACTTGAGCTCCCAAGTTATCGTAATATAAATGGCCAATATATGTAATTTCGTGACATTCTGATAAAATTTGAATTTTTAAATTCAGATGAATCTGGACCATCTTTGTGGTCTCTGGGGAATATTTTTGGGGACCACTTTTATTTTCTTTTATAGGTTTATTGAAAGCCGGCCGTTTGAAAGTTAGTATTGAAACTAGAATAATTTGAGTTTTGCATATTTTAATTATATAATCTTCCACTATTTAGTAAACAACTCCCCCTTTTTCTATTCTTTAGGTTGTGAAGTGCTCACAACTATAATGCAAATTTTTAATTAAGTCAACACCAAGTACGTAGCCATTAACCCAACACTTTTGTTTGACAATTTCGCTTTTAAGTTATATTTAAAAATAAGAGCATGTTCCAAGGGTCCATGTGAGTTGTAGATGCATATACAGCTTTAACTTTTATTCGTGGATTTATTCGTGTCCTTGTGATTGTCAGCTGCATACGCATATACAACTTTAATGAAGTCATCAATTTATTAGAGTCCTCGTGGTTGTGAGTTGTATATGCATATACAATTTTGATGAAGTGGTCCATTATCTTAAAGTAATCGATTGCAATCACAATTTTTATGTATTTTTATTTTGAAGATTTTTCTCTTTATTTTAAATTTCATGATGGTTATATGACATTTGTAGCTACACCTCGTGCGGTGAGTTTGAGTTTTTTTGTGTCCTTTAAATTAGTGGTTTACTTTTTAAAAAAATTAAATGAGTGATAATTAATTAATGGATAGAGGGATAATTACATAAAACATGTGTTTGAATTTAATTGGTTAAAATCATGAGTGGTGCTTCAATCTACATCCCACCTAATTTGATTATTTTATATGTATAGTACTCGCGACTGTCCCTATATATGATATGATACACATAATTTATAATATCTATTCATCACTACCATCACCCCTACTCTCCCCCTACCGCTGCCGCTGCCCATGCCCCCACAACCCCACCACCACCCATGATCCCATCCTAACATTATTGGAAAAATATTTATTGACATTTTATAAAAATTTAAATTTAAAATAGCAAATAAAGATGATGAAAAATTCAAATATAAAATAATTAACAAAATTTTTTTTTGAGCAAAACAAACATGTTAGAATTCAGATCAATTAAATCATTCAAAGCTAAGAAAAAAAAAAGATTTTCAAACACTCACTTACCTAAATGAATTTTTTAATATATAATATAGATAAATGGTTTGGTCTCCGATCTCAAATTAGTCAAATCTCTTAATATAGAATTTCAAATGGTACTTTTATTTTCAAGTATGATTGGGGTGAATTATACTTTACACCAAAAAAAATATAAAAAATTTATTTTATATTTTTAAAGATTAATTTTCTCATACTGAATTTTCAATGTGTTACAAGTGTTATACTGCAGTCCTTTCGTTGCTCATTTTGTCAATATCGATGAAGTAGCTTTTGACGGAATAAGCAATGACACTTGATTTTAACCAATTAAATTCAAACACATATTTTATGTAATTGCCCCATCACCCATTAATTAAGAGTAATGTTACGTGAACTTAAAAATTATACTTGATAATCTTAACTATTGAATGGACAGTGAGTCCTAATAAGTGCTGGAACCCACAGTAAAATCAATAGTTGTAATTATCAAGTCTAATTTTTAAGTCTACTTGTTAAATCCATGTAGCATTGCTCATTAATTAAATATTACTCATCTATTTTTTTTTTTAAATAAGCCACTAATTTAAGGAAAACATAAAAACTCAGTGCACTGCACGGGACCGTCGCTAAAAATATCATATAACCCTCATAAAATTAAAAACAAAGAGAAAAACTTCAAAATAAAAGTAAATAAAAATTGTTATTACACTCGATTTCTTTAAGATGATCGACCATTTCATTAACGTTATATATGCATATACAAATCACAATTACAATCACAATCACAATCACAAGGGCACTAATAAATCGACAACTTCATTAAAGATGTATATGCATCTACAACTCACATGGACCCCATAATAAGTTGGACACATGCTCTTATTTTCTAAATATAACTTAAAAAGAAATTGTCAAAAAAAATGTTGGGTTAATGGCTAGGTACTTGATGCCAACTTAATTAAACATTTTGACTTGAGGATGTGATGGATATATTTATTATTGATTTAATTATAGATCTCATTATTTTATTAGGATCTATCATCTATTTTTTTTATTATTATTATTCAAATTTACTATCTATTTAATAATAATGATTTATCATTTTTTTAAGTCTATTTTGTAATTTTTTGTTTGTCTATGACGATGAAAAAGATGGTGCCACTATTACCAAATGCTTTTTTTTAATGGGAATTATATTTTGTACATTAAAAGATTTAAATTTTTTTATTTTCACACTAAAAAAATAATTTTTTTATATTATACCTTTTAATATATTGAGCGTGTTAAAAAATAGAAGAGAAAAATGGATTTTTCATTGTTTGGTCAGAGGGAAAAATGGAATGGAAAGTAAAATTGGATGGCCAGTCTTTCCACCCGGCACACCATTTTTAATCATTCGAGATTTGAGCGGAAAATGGGGAGAGAAGCTGGTTGCTATGTTGTCATATAATTAATTTACATTTATACCCTTTTTACTTGCATATATTTTCTTATCAAGTCTTTAAAATACTTTTTAGCATGAAGGCTCAATTTTGAAATATTTCTTTAACTAACCTATGGTATATTCATGTGATTTATCAATTATTGCATTTATTCACTTTTTGTGGATAAAATTATAAATTACATAATTTATTTTTCTTTTTCACACCCATACATAAACAATAATGGTAAATAAATTTTATAGACAAGATCAATATATCATCCTACATGTCAAAAAAATAAAAAACTAAGCTTTATAAAGTGCCGGCCTAAGGCATTCTAGTCCATAAACATAGAAGAGGGTAATTTTGACATTTCAAATAAGAGGTAATCAAATTGTGCACTTTCTCCACTCTCAGAGACGAAAATTATTGTTAATAGGTGTCCATAATTTGACAGTATAAACTTGAAGGGAATGCAGTGAAGTTTTAGAATCGAAATGAAGTGTCATTAAATTTAGACCTAACTATAAGAGTGAATGAAATTTTCCCTAAACAAAAAGTTGAAAGTGGTATTATATGCCACATGTTAGAATTCAATTTAATGAGATCAATTAAATAATTCAAAACTAAGAAAAAAAAGAAGATTTTCAAATAGATAAATGGTTTGGTCTACGATCCCAAATTAGTCAATTCTCTTGATAAGGAGTTTCAAATGGTCTCTTTATTTTCGAATATGATTTGAGCAAATTGTATTTTACACACAAAAAATATAAAAAAAATTATTTTATACTTTTAAAGATTAAATTTTTCACATTAAACCCTCAATTTGTTATGAGTGTTATAATAAGACTCTTTTGTTGTTTATTTTGTCAATATAGATGATGTAGTTTTTGACAAAATAAACAACAAAAATTCATAAAAAGGTTATACTCTAAAGGTCAGTGTGGTAGAAGAAATGAAAAATAAGAAGGATGAAATATGTGATAGATACACTTTCTATCCATACAAAAAATAAATCTTCTTTTCTTTCTTTTTATTTGGTATGATGGATGAAAAAGTCAGAGGGACAAATTTTGTGTTGTTTGGTATAAGAAGAAAAATGAAAGGAAAGAAAGATCATATAAATTCGATTTACCATTTTGATTTTGTCTATAAATTTTATTTACCATTATTGTTGAGTATGGGTGTAAAAAAGAAAAAAATTATGTAATTTACAATTTTATCCACAAAAAGTGAACAAATGCAATTGAGCTCTCATGCTAAATGGTATTTTAAAGACATTATAAGAAAATACATGTAAGTAAGAAGGTGTAAATGTAAATTAACTATATGACAACATAGCAACCAACTTCTCTCTCCATTTGCTGCTCAAATATGGGGCAATTAAAAATGGTGTGGCTGATGGAAAGACTTTCCATCCAAATTTTTTTTTTTTCATCCCATTTTTCACTCTAACCAAACAATAGAAAACCCAGTTTTCCCTCCTATTTTCCATAGGGTAACACTCTTAATATATTACAGGTGTAAATAAATTTTTTTAAGGTGCAAAATATAATTTTCATTAAAAAAAAGTGTTCTCCGATACTATATTATCATTATTGACAAAGTATTATTAATTAATAATAAAACTTTAAATAAACAAAGTGAACTATACTTAAATAATTATTATTGTATATGAAAGAAGACTAAATAATTATTGACTTAAATAAATAAGTAATTATTAATTTGTGTAAGATCTATTTTTTTTATTTATTTGTACATTATTGATGACACAACATAGAAATACTAATGTCTTGTTGGAATGAATAATTTTTTGGTAAGTGGTACCATCTTTCGTCATCGTCATAGACCAAAAAAAAAACGAAAACTAAAACTAAAAATAAAAATAAAAAGATGCACACACACAATACAAGTCAAAATTCTCTTTCCCGTGGGTGCCAAAAAAAATTACTGATTTAATCACTTCGGAGGCCACAAAAATTTCAAAATGGGTGTCGCCTTGCCCACTAGCACCTTCTTTGCGCCCACCACTTTTTCTCCTCACAAATCTGTATCAAATTCTATTGTTCTCACTCCCACCACTACATTGTATCAAACCCATCTCCAGAAACCAACTTACAGCACCGTCACCCAATCTTCTTCAGCAGTTTTGGCTACGAAGTGTGCCAGAGTTGAAGAAATGGAAGCCCAAGAGGAAATTTCTATAAAACCCATATATGATCCTCACAGTATTGACCAAGAATTGCTTCAAAAGTTGGTGTATGATGCTCTGGTTTGGAGTTCTCTTCATGGGTTTGTTGTTGGAGACAAAAATGTTGAGGTCAGTGTATCAAGAATGATCAATCCCACTTTTGCGGCCGCACACACACACACTTGTTAGTGCCTCGAGAGTTGAGAACTGTTATAATCTTTTTTAGCATGTAAATTTTTCTTATATGGGTGTGAGAAAGGAATTTTAAATCAAGCAAGGATTTTGATTGTGTCTTTTTATATATCTTATTAGCTGCCCTGATTCTGATTTTTGATGCTTGACATGAGTTTTTTTCTCCCTGATTTTTGGTGGAATAATATAAAGGGAATCTTTGTAGATTTCTGTCGTTTGAATTAAAAGTTACACTTTGCATTTACAGGAAGGATGAGGCTAAAGTATCGATTTGGTACCCTACCGAAATTTATCCCCAATGGTTGATTTTTGTTTAGATGATTTACAATTTATTGGGTTGTAAGCTTAGATGATCTGCAACATATCGTTACCACAGTTGAAAAGGAATTGGAAAGAATGATGTGGACTTATGAATAGAAGCAATTGTTCTTGTGTTTAATGTTGGGTTTTACTTGCAGAGATCAGGAGTTGTGCCTGGTGTGGGTATGGTTCATGCCCCATTTGCCTTATTGCCCATGTCATTTCCTGAAAATCGCTTTCAACAAGCTTGTGAATTAGCTCCCATTTTCAATGAACTAGTTGATCGTGTTAGCTTGGATGGACAATTTCTACAGGACTCACTCTCCAGGTCCTCTCTCTCACCCTCTCTCAGTGTGTGTGCAATTCTATTCACTGGTTAGATTTTGATCTGAATCCAAATCTGATTGGTCAGATAAGAATTGCTTTTTTGACCGATGATGCGAATTCAAATTTGTTCCAACACATTCCACGCATTCGAATTTGGATATGACAATATCCAATTGTGACTATTCAAATTTGTCCTGACATGTATCATATATTTGTGTGTATATATTTGTATGATAAAAATTGAGTTCTTGCTTGCTGAAGTTGAGTTGAAGATCTGACACAAAAAAGAAAAAAAAAAAAAAGGTGTTGGAATTCGAATGTAATTTTCTAAAATTCAGCTCTAATTAAATTTTTTATTGGGTCAGACTTCTAAATTTTAATGATCTCGGCTATGGTTTGGGAAAATAGAATCTGGCAGGCATTAAGCTTGGGGTATTGAAATCAGAGAGGGCTTGGATTGGTTGAACCATCAATTGATAGGCCTCTGTGTGTTGGTGGGTGTAAACACAGCTTGCCTTGCATGGATACATACAAATTGTAATACGTGAGCACATCCCAATTTTAATGTGGTGAGAACAAATCTTATCTGGCAATTTGATCTGTCAAGGACCCCATTGTGTGTTAAGTCATGGGTCATTGGACGGTTTGCACCTCTTGGAGATGCAGTATTGTCAAGTAGAATCTTCCGGATCATGAATCTTTCATCAAATACAGGAGCATGTATACAAAAGATATTGGATTTCATTCTTACACAATCACCTCAGATGTCCATATTCTTAAGATGTGAGATCAATAAGAACTGTGCTTTTGCTGGGTACTGATTTATCTCCACCTATGTCAAACTTCCATGTTACATGCCAAAACAGTTGTTCTCACTACCTTAACTCGCATCGAGTTTTCCCTTGCCCTCTTTCTTCCAGCACCTTCAACTCGAAGCATCTGATTTGCTGTGATGATGAAGGTGATCTGTTTAGACTTTCCAGTATGCCCTGCTAAAATCACCTGAATTACTTATTTCTTCTCCTGACACTTATCCATTTCAGCTACATGTACTGTCTTATTCAAAAGCATGTTGTGACTTGAGTTTCTACGGTTCCTATCTTGATTTCACACCAAGTGGAACTCCTACCTTTCATCCATTCCACCTGAATGGATTCTTATGATAAATATGTAACTCCTTCTAAATTTGGCAGAAATATTGACAAAGAATGACCTGTTAGATGTAATTTCTGTCAATGGTTCTTAGAGTTTAGATTTTAGCTTGGAATGACTCGGTGCCCCTTAAGCTTGTTCCTTGATCATTTTTGTTCCGCCTAAGTTGTTTCATATTGTTTCATGATATCCGATGTGTATGTGGCTTGACTGATTCTGATATCGGCCTTTGTTTTTGTTTAGTATTGTTTCCTTGCTTGACTTGAAAGACTAAGAGTATTTTTTTATCTTTTAACAGATAATATACAAATAATGTGTGAACTGAGTTTATTCTTCTCTTTTTGAATATTGCAGAACAAAGAAAGTGGATGCTTTCACTGCTAGACTTTTAGAAATTCACTCCAAGATGCTAGAAATTAATAAGAAAGAGGTGTGTATCAATAGTGGATTCAGTTCACTTTCATATGCAACCACAGTTGTCAGTCCTTTTATTTCTTGTGATTGTGGCCAGACCTCATTATTACTGGCTAATAATACATACACTGTCAGCTTCCTCATTATTATTGGCTTATTGCCTAATAATATATACTGTTGGCTCAATCTAAATCATTAAAGCCTTTTTTGAACTATTTGGGTATGCCATACCTGTTGAGCTGTTTTACCACTGTGCTCTGTCAAAGACCATTACACGCTTCCTTCCACATCCTTGTTGATTGTTTACCTGGCCTCTTCTTTAGCTTGATGCTACAATGAGAAGAATGTAATGATGTAGTTATTTTGTGGTATTTGGAAGCCATCGTAATTTGTTCAGTTCATCTAATTAATTTTCATCCAGTGTTTGGTGTACATAGTCAAGGTATTGGATCAGGATTGTGTCATTTTTTGCTGTTGGTAAAGATGTCTCTTTTGTTTCAATCTTTGACCTAGGAAATACGCTTGGGTTTACATCGCTCTGATTATATGCTCGATGAACAAACTAAATTGCTTCTCCAAATAGAGCTCAACACAATTTCATGTTCATTTTCTGGGTTGAGTTGTCTCATCAGCGAGCTTCACAGGTACAACATCCTATATCAATTTTTTAATTTGTGCTTTCTTTTAACTGTCATGATAATTTGTGGGTAAATTTGTTTTACGTCCTTTTCTTTGTTTTTCTTTTTTCTTTCCCCTTTTTACTATGTAGGATAAGTTCATCATTCTTGTTCTTAATTACTATTGCCAAGTCTTGCTTTTAAAAGACTTTTGGAATGCCTTCACTAATTTTCAAGTATGTTATGGTCGGTGGTCATGCTCACCATAGGTTCAGCTTCAGACCAATGAATAGCTAAAACGTTAATTTTAAAAGAGGAAAAAAGGGGAAAAAGAAAAATGTTGTTGCCGAGATAGGATATACATAAGTTTGAAGAAACTAACAACAAATCTTGAATTTTTGGCTGGAATTTTCACAAGCCTCCAATTTTTTTTTTGAAAAGACAATCCTCTGGTTGAGGTTAACATCATTAATGGGCCAACTTGAGAATATTGGCCCTGTTTGGTTTACATCTCAGAAACTGTTTTTTATTTTTAGAAACATTTTAAAGGAGAAAAGTTATTTGCCAGTTGTTTTTTACTTGTTTTTTTTGAAACCCAAGAACAAAAAGTGGATAGATTTAGAGAATAAGTTAGGGTTTTTTTGTGTATTTTTTGAAACCTGTCTAGAATTTAGAAAACACCACCACCACATTTCCACCATAACCACATCACCGCGACATCCACCACCACCACCACCATATTTCTATTTTCATTGTTTTTGGGGTTACTAACCAAACAAATTTTACTATATTTTATTCTATAGAACTGTTAGAATCATATAACCAAATAAGTTCTGTAACACAAAAACACTTAAATATACTTTTTTAAAATTATTCCCAAAAATGGTTTTCGGATATTATTTTTTGAGACGCAAACCAAACAAATTTTAAAGTTTTTGAAACAGAATATTTACTTGAAAAAGTCATACCAACCAATGTTGAGAGCGCAAATAGATCGTACTTCGAAACACTGAACTCAGAGGTAATTGTCCTAGCAGGGTAAATAGATCTTAGCACTCAATGTAAAATTCTATGCCCAAATAAAACCTAATTCACTTCAATAACCAATTAGTTTATCTAATTACTACTCAAATCTTATGATTATCCCAAACACCCAATCAGTTGAAGAATTAATGTCTCAAATTTTCAACCACTACTTGCAAGAAGATTCTCGTTCAAGAATTTATTGAACATGTGAGTAGTGTAAAATTTCATGTAAATATCATGCAAGAGACAATCAAAACCACAACATAAGCAATTACGTGGAAACTCATTTGGGAAAAACCACAGGACTATAGTTCACCTAACTTGATCCACTAGTCTCAAAGTAAGAGTACAAGCCTTATAATCTTATACCATAATCAATACCATGGTTAGATGCTTTCTTAAAGTTGGAATAGTAAAAATAATATTAGGGTTAGAAACAATCAGAGAAAGAGAGAGAATAATCAGTTTTGTAGGATAGGTTGCGCAACACTCTATTATTTATATCTGAGTAATATTAGGGTAATTACAATATTACCTTGTATTAATTAACTTATATCTAATATAGAAAATAAGAACTCTAACACTCCCCCTCAAGCTGGAGTATTATAAAGATAAAAAATGTTCAACTTGAAACATAAACTACTGAAGGCGGACTAAGCCAATGGTTTGATAAGAATGTCATCTAGGTGATCACTAGACTTGATATATGAAGTGAGGACCTCCTTCCGTATCAAGAGATCTCGAATAAAATGGTAATCCACTTTAATGTAGTTGGCATGCTCATGAATACCAGATGACTTGCTATGAAATAGCTTCTTGGTGTCAAAATGCATCTTCATAGAGGAAGACACATCAAGTCCTGTATTACAAAGTAAAGAACGAACCCATAATATCTTATAAACAGTATGTGTGATAGCACGATATGCAACCTCTGCACTAGAACGTGTGACCATGTTTTGCTTCTTATTGCACCAAGTAACAAGATAACCACCAATAAATGTACAATAGTCAGAAATATCTCATCTATCACCATAACTATTTGTCCAATTAGCATCAAAAAATCAACAACAGTTATGGATGATGATGGCAGATATAATAATCCCTTTTCCAGAGCCCATTTCAAATACCGAAGTATATGACAGAGAACCTTCCAATGAGACTAATGAGAGTCATGCAGAAACTCACTAACACCACACCAAAACATATGTAATATCAGGGCGTGTAATTGTAAGATAAAACATCTTGTCAACCAACTTTTGATAACACCCTATATCATCAAGACTTCACCACTCTCAAGATATATACTTAGAGTGCGTTTGGTAACGTTTTCGTTTTATATTTTTTTGTTTATAATTAATAAAAATTAAAAATATAAAACATGTTCGGTAGTCATTTATATTTAAAAATTGTGAAACAAAAATAAAAACATGTTTGTTATTATACCAAAAATTCACCACACCCAACCCCCATTAACCACCGAAACCCACCCCCACCATGAAACCCATCACCCAACCTTCACCTGACTATCGAAACCCACCCCCACCACTGAAACACCACCACAACCACCAAAACCCACCCCCAACCCAACCCAACCTAAACTAAACCCACCAAAACCCCCACCACTGTGGCAGAGTCACCATAAACCACCAAATCCACCACCTCAACTAACCCCAAACCACCACCGAAACCCACCCCCAACCCCACCACCGAAACCGACAACCCACTCCCACCACTGAAAACCACAACCACAACCACTCTACTGACCACGAAAACCACCCCACTGACCACCACGAAACCACCACCCAACCCCATCCTGAAAACCCATGCCCAAAAACCCACCCCTAAACCACCATCACCCACCACCAAAATCCACCACCCCAAACTCCCAAAATCCACCACTCATCTATATATACAAATAATTATACATAGATCTAGGGCTTGAGAAGACGATGAGAGGGGCGATGGCATGTTTTCCCCCTTTTTCTGCTTCGCCTTCGTCTTTGGCA